CCACTTAGTCAAGTATGTCCGCAGAGAATGCGGGCGGGACCGACAAGCTGCCCGCATGAGCAGTAGTTAACACCGACATTGCACCAATAGTCTCCACAGCGAATGTGATGCAAGCAAAGGCAGAGACAGAGGCAGAGATAGAAATCGAGATCGAGATGGAAATGGAGATGGAGACGGCGATGGAGATGGAGATGGAAACGGAGCTGGAGATGGAGACAGAGATAAAGATAAACATAGACATAAAGCTATAGATACACAAGAACAAACACGAACCATCCACTGTATGTTCAGCTGGCTTCTTGAGACGACCCAGTGGACAGCTTCAGAGTCAGGCCTGCCCCACAGCACTTGGCCGCAGGTGCTGCTGGCCGCGAAGAAGCTGACGTATGTGCTTTGCATTCGATCCTGGGAGCTGCCAGCATCTCGTGTTCGGGATTTACTTCCAAGGCGGCAAGCCAAACGACGACACTTAGATCTCAACTTCGTGCCCGTATTTCCAAGCCAAAGCATCACAGACATGAAATACAAATACAAGAAACGTTGAAAGTGGATCTTGACTGCGAACACGCTCATCCAGCACCTGGACAAAAGCAACTTGGGGCTTGACAGAGCTTTCCTCACTGGCAGTCCCCCAGGACATTGAGAACCCTCGAAGCAAACAGCCCAGATGTGCCCAGATTGAGATTCCAGCAAAGCAAACGAAGTGGGGTGTAGCATTGCACGGGAGGTGGCCACCGACATCGTCATTAGGGCGAGTCCTTGCCGTCGACAGGCTCGTCAAGGTCTGCTGGAGGACTGCATGGGGAGCTCGCCGAACGAATGAAGTTGGAAGCCGCTGCTGTCGCGGAGAAGGAGGACAGTAGGGGCGAGAATGCTCAGACGTAGGGGAATGATGCAACTTTGAACTTCGAAGGTGGGAGCCTTGGAAAACCAGAACCACCTACCTGGACCTCTCATCCGAAGATGGAGCCTGGGAAGGTTTGGGCACCCATGTTTATAAAATCAGAGCTGTAATCAAATGTTGAACTCCGACGGGAGGTTGGAATGATCAATCGCCCCCGAATTCCATTGCAGGACTCTTCTCAAACTTGAACTGCGAGCATGGAGGAGCACCCATGGCTTGAAAAGGAGAACTTTTACAAACCAGGAACTCCGAGGATGGAGTGTTGGACCGATGGAGTGCCAAGGATCTTGAAAGCGGAAACCCTACGAACCACGCGCTGCATCAAATGTCATGCCGACACAGAGACGCAGTCAGAACGCAGATCACAATGTCATGCCTCCGTGCTCAAATTCTGATCGCGGGCGACAAATGTATCAAACTCTTGATCAAGTTAAAGTCCGAGGATGGCAACGTGCCCATCTGGTTGGAATGGGAATGCGGTCTTCCGTCTCATCAACACAACAACTCAGTTGCAGGTACTCCCACCTGCAAGTTCTCAATCTGCCACTACCACCGAACAACATTTGATAAAGGAGATGCAACGGCTTGTTCTGACGTCCCTCCTCCCACCTCGCTTGCTATGCAAAGAAGATCCTTCACGCGACCAGACTTGCTTTGCCTGCATGAAGACTGACATTTCTTCTGGTTGTCTTGTCGCACCGAGCAAACCCAAAAACCCACGTGACCAAAGCAAACATAATAAAAAGACGAAAACATGCTTTTGATTTGTGTGAATGGGGACGCTGAAACTCTGGGGATCTTGCTGGTCGCTGAAGCATGGCGCGGAGTGCTGGTGTCTGAACGACTGGCTTTCTGAATCAGCCGTGCTTTTACTCGATGTGCCATGGCCCAATACCTTCCGCACATATTTTCGGATGTCCTCGACATTGGTGTGGTTGTGGTCACAGTCTGGAGCAGAGTGAGGCAGCGTTCCCGTGCGAAGTGTTCGGCTTTAGACCTTTCATGGGCTCTGACATCAAAAAAACATGTAGGATTCCAGGATACGGAGAGCAACTCGATGTGCAAACGAGACCTGCACCCAAACGAGAAGGCTATCATGCTTGGAAGCCAGTCGCTCCCTGGCCAGCAGCCTTTCCACCTCAATGCCGCAACTTGGCCCACAGCGACCTTGGCGGCTCAGCGGCTGCTGTCCCTCAGGCGATGCCGCGACTTCTGTCAAAGCCCCCAGGGCGAACGACACCTTAACTTCAGGCAGATTTGCATGAAACCAGTGGACCGCAGCCGCATTGTTGGGGCCTTTGGGCAGCCCCGGCAGTGGAGCAGCAACAAGTTAAGTTGCCATCCCGCTGCCAAGCAGAAGGAGTGGCCACAGTGCGCGCAACGCCTAGACGCATGTCAGCTTCCATGCTGACACAAATCTGACATTCCCGGGACGTAATGCCATGCCAACGAACGGGTCGGTGATTCCCATGCGAGCGTCTACCCAACCGGACAGTTGACTAGCACTGCCCGCCTACTTCCCAAATTTTGACGACGTCGCATGCGCAAGATGCGAAGAATTGTCCCCGTCCCTGAATGATTGTTTAAGGGAACCCGCCCTGATGCCCACAATGTGGACCTTCGATGGCGGGCACAGTCATATATTGTCGTGAGCAAGAGCATGGTAAGACCATAGCATGTAGCTCTTGAAGACTGGGCCCCTTGAGGGTTCAATTCATGCAGCTGGAGACGGCTGGGCCTCTTGAGGGGCCGAAGCAAGGGATCAAAACATGCACAATCGCTCACATTGTTATTAGCAAAGTATGCTGTGTGCCACCAGGAGCGGTAGCCTGTACATGCAAATTTAAGGTTTAACCTGTGCATTGACTAGCCATGTCTATAACAAAGTGCTGGGTGTGATTGTTGTGTGATATGAAGACAGTAACCAGCACATACGAAATTTAAGGTTTAGACTGCACATTGACTAGCACTGTTTATAATGGAGTATATTGTGTGAAGTTGTGTATTGAACCCAAACAGAAACAGTAAAAATGCTATTTCTAATGTGGGGGGGGGGGGTTCTATGGGCGGGTGGGTGTGTATGATTCTTGAAAACAACTTGCAAAGAAATCTCACGGTCGGAGCTGCTGAACCCTAAACCCTAAACCCTCAACCTTAAACCCCTAAACCCTAAACCCTGTTTAGGGTTGAGGCCTTCCTCGCCAGCCGAAGACTGCAAAAAGTAGGGGTCCAGAAGTGTAAACGTTTAACAAAGGGGCCAAGGGCAGTCAAGTGGTCAAGGCATGTTACGAGCAGCGTAACTGTCCCCGCACCCTGCGATAATCTCCATGTCTCCGAGCTTCACGCTTGTCACTGGAGCATCACACACCTCAGTGCATGGGAAGGCCTAGAGGATTTTGACTCGGCGTAAAGACGCTTCAAGGCATCTGCATGGACCAAGTTCTCACGAGATTGTCGTTCGTAGTCCCACCTGCGCTGCAGCAGCGTTCACGGACCGTTGCTTCTGCGTCACTGCGTCACTGCGGTTCAAGCGCCTGACGACTGAACTGCCAAGATCCAGGGCTTAGAAGAGTGCAGCTCCAGGTGGCAAACACTCCTTCGCACCTGGAGGCAGTGGTGTCCATCTGTAAAGGCTTCCTAAGAGACTGCCGAGGCCCGAGCCAACCTCTGCTCTAGGCTGAGGCTCCTGGATGCAATCTTTTGGGCTTTAAGATACCGGGTCTGATACCAAAAATCATCACAGAACCGTCCAGGGCACCTCTGCGCCTTTCAGCAGCCAGCGAGGCACAAACAGTGTGGGCTAGCACCCTCTCCGCACCGTTTGTGATGTTCGTGACAGACAAACATCACAAACGGTGAGGAGAGGGCGCTAGCCCACAGCAGAGTCGAAGCTCATGAGCCAATATGGCAACAACTGCTTTGCTGCTCGGACCCATGTTGATGATACTATCCTAGTGTGTTCCGAGGATTTCTCCCACTTTCGCTACTTAGCATAAGTGCTCCCCCGTGCGCCCGATGCTGACAAGCAGCACCCAACCCGGCAGAGCAGAAGCCTGGGCCCTGCATGTTCGAAAGCCCCTGCCAGCATCTGTGAACTAGAATCATAGAATCATAGAACTGCTGTTGTTACGTGGCTTCTACCGCACTCAGTGGCTGCTTCCTCGTCTCTGCGAGAAGAGGCCCAGCTCAGAGGCTCCGGGCCGACCGACAACATGCCCTCAAATTTGCAGAGAAAGTTGGGCCCCAGAGAGACGTGCCCTGCCCCGGAGCGCCCCCCACGCCATTTCTGCTCTAAACTCGAGGTCGCCTCGATCGCCCCTCTCGCGCCCACGGAGGATCAGCGGGGGCTAAGGGACACTGCAGCAGCCTTCAAATAGACGTAGGTATGCCTTTGTACATCCAGTTATCAACAACCAGTGACGCGACTGGGGGCCTTTTGATTTTGAGTTCTTCAAACCCAAAGACGCATGACTTGATCTAGCCCGGCTCAACTATCACCATCCACATGTAGAGCATTGCTCTCCGAGTTCCGCTGGATGGACCGAACCAAGAAAGCAGAAGCGCAAATCAACCTGGCTTGCATCCATGCCACTGCCTCTGCCACACGGGTGGATGGATCGAAAAGCCCTGCAGTTGGTTGCATCCCTGTACCATGAAAAAGACCGGCGAGTCTCATTACTGAGGCATGGATCCCGGATTTTCGCCGCTGAGAGCCTTTTTGGCCCTCAGCTCTATCGGGTGAGAAGAAGGCACCGCTCCGGTGAAAGCCAACGAGAAACCTCAAAACGCCAACCGACCGGACGACTCGGCAGGCGTAGGACCGACTTAGCGTAAAGTAGAGACTTGCTTGAAACTCGATGGGACTTCGCTGGAGCAGCACACTGGGAATAAACGCCTCACGGCAGATTGACGAGCTTCGGGCCCCGTCTCACATCGCCTCGAGGGTTTAGAGTTCAGGGGTTTAAGTTTTAAGGTTTAGGGTGTAGGGCTTAGGCCCAATCATTAGGGTGCTCCTCAGCATCCTGATACCTCAACATACAATCTGTATGATCTATCAAGTACAGCAGTTTTGTTGTTGGGTTTCGTCGTTTAGGGTTCAGGATGGTGGGGTGCGAGGAGTGGAGACGCTTGGCTGAGACTGACTCTGAAACCCCTCCTGCTTTGGGGAACGGGCAGGCTCCGGAAGCTCGGTGAGGGAGACACGCCGTGCGCGGCCCCCAGGCCCGCGCTGCGCGTCCGCCGGCTCCTGCAACAGACAGGAGGGGGGACTCTCCGACTCTTCGGGCACAGGCCCCTGAGACTTGACTTTGGGGCGTTCCTATTTTTGGAAGTCTCCTCCCAGTAGAATTTCACCCGCGCGCCCACGGCGAGCTCGGAAGAGCCGATGCCAGGCTCCAGGTCCGAGAAGTGCAGGAAGACGTCCCCTCGCCCGTGCCTGCCCAGGGCGCCGCGGCCGAGGCTGTGGAAAGCTCAAGGCAGCAGATAGCGCATCGGAAAGAACAGGAGCTTCAGCTTCAAGTCGAGGACGCAGTAAACTCGAAGGGAGCAGAAGAGAGTCGTAAGAAGGCAGCTCGAACTACCAGCCAGTTAATACCCAAGCTTCCAAATCTATCTGATATGCTCTCATCTGGACGTGACGCACCTGGCCCCGCGTCCACCGTCGTCGCGCGCAACAAAACCGAAGCCTGAGAGAAAGGTCTCGGGTTTGATGGGTTTGGGATGGTTTGGGTTTGCTGGGGGAGACCGGGGTAAGCGTGTTCAGGAGCTTCCTACAGCAAAGGTTCCTGTGCCCTCCAGCCGGCCTTTCCCAGGAAAGAGTCG